TTACAGGAAAAATATATCGAACCTGATAGGAATTGATTATCATAGCGTTGTCAAGGAAAAACCATGAATTTTTACGAAAAATGCTTAAATATGACTATGTACCCCCCCTCTAGCAGCCACATCTTTCGACATAAAGAGCTCAAATTTGGCACACTTACGTATTTTAACGTGAAAATTACAGGAAAAATATAGCGAACTTGATTCGGATCAAATTACATAGCGTTGTCAAGGAAAAATCAAAAATTTCGAAAAAAACTGATTTTTTCTCCCTAGCGCAAACAATATCCAACCCAGACAGTTCATATTTAGTATACAAATGTATTTTTACGGGAAAAATACAGGGAAAAAAAGCGATCACGATTAGAGTTGATGATTAACTTTTTATCACATTTTTCAAGAAAAAATGACAATTTTAGGAAAAAAATGTATTTTTCTACCAAAAACGAACAAAATTTTATTTAAAGGAATTTAAATTTATTTATTTTAACGTATTTTTACGTGTAGATTACAAAAAAAATATAGCGAGCATGATTGGAGTTGATTATCATAGCGTTGTCAAGGAAAAACCATGAATTTTTACGAAAAATACCTAAAAATGACTATGTACCCCCCCCTAGCAGCCACATCTTTTGACATAAAGAGCTCAAATTTGGTACACTTACGTATTTTTACGTGAAAATTACAGGAAAAATATAGCGAACTTGATTCAAATCAATTTACCTAGCGTTGCACAGTGGGGCCAAAAACACGTCCGTGGACAAATTAACTTAGAGCCTACAAATTTCAACCGATTTTGACGTTCTTTGAATTGACTTAAAGGTAATAAAATTCCACACAGCGCTGTCGTTTTTGTTTTTTTTAAAAAAAAATTTTTCTATTGTTTATTTATTGTTAAAGTTGAAAAATTTTTTTTTTCTTCTCTAAAAACTACATAAGTTTTTCAAAAAGGACGGTATTACATCAACAAAGCCTAAAATTGTTAAAGCAATGATTTGAGAACATTTTCTGAGATTTAAATAATTGTTTAAAAAATTTTTGTAATTGTTATTAACAAATTAGCGGACTAAAGACGATTTAATTGTTATTTTTACTTTTAGCAATTGAAATGCATGTAATCTTTTGTATTTAAGGGCCAAAAGTAATTAACATTGAAAATAATTATTATAAACTAATTATTGTTATTTTTTAAACAATTTTTATAAACAATTTTCTTTATCTTAGTTCTTTATAACTAAATTATTTAAATATTGTGTTCAGTCTACTATATTATTACTCAAGATGAACAAATATTGCTAAATTTTGACAATTTTCAACTTAGCTTTGTTTAAACAACTCTTAATTAACAAATACACAGTGACGTTGTTTTTAGTTGTTTCAAATTCGTTTTTTTTCAAGACTCCTTAATTTTTAAATATTTTTATATTACACCGTCCGACACGATTTTTCACACATGAAAAAATCAATGATTTTCAGAAACACCAAAAAAAAGATACCCGTGTCTGTCCGTTTTGCTAGATCAGGTCATTTTTTGCTTTTAGAGGTAAAAACAGCCCTTAAATGAAAGGTGATAGGAAATCTTGTACAAATTAATAGTTTTTTATGAAACCTGGTATCTCGGGGTTTTCCGGGTCGCTGATTACGAATCTGATGTCAGATTTTGAAAATTCAACATGGCGGATCCAATATGGCAGTCGAAATTTATAAATATTAATTATTTTTTATAAAATTTGATGTCTAGGGGCTTTTGAGGTCGCTGATAATAACATAATAATAATAATAATAATAATAACATAAAAACATTTATAAATTTCGACCACCATATTGGATCCGCCATTTTGAATTTTGAAAAGCCGACATCAAATTCGTAATCAGCAACCCCAAAAACCTTCAAGTAACAAGTTTCAAGTGAATTCGATGAACTTTTATAAATTTCGACCGCTGTATTGAATCCGCCATTTTGAATTTTGAAAATCTGACATCATATTCGCAATCAGCGACCCCAAAAACCTTAAAGTAACAAGTTTCAAGTAAATTCGATGAACTTTTATAAATTTCGAACGCCATATTGAATCCACCATTTTGAATTTTGAAAATCTGACATCAGATTCGTAATCAGCGACCCGGAAAACCCCGAGATACCAGGTTTCATAAAAAATTATTAATTTGTACAAGATTTCCTATCACCTTTCATTTAAGGGCTGTTTTTACCTCTAAAAGCAAAAAATGACCTGATCTAGCAAAACGGACAGACACGGGTATCTTTTTTTTGGTGTTTCTGAAAATCATTGATTTTTTCATGTGTGAAAAATCGTGTCGGACGGTGTAATATAAAAATATTTAAAAATTAAGGAGTCTTGAAAAAAAACGAATTTGAAACAACTAAAAACAAAGTCACTGTGTATTTGTTAATTAAGAGTTGTTTAAACAAAGCTAAGTTGAAAATTGTCAAAATTTAGCAATATTTGTTCATCTTGAGTAATAATATAGTAGACTGAACACAATATTTAAATAATTTAGTTATAAAGAACTAAGATAAAGAAAATTGTTTATAAAAATTGTTTAAAAAATAACAATAATTAGTTTATAATAATTATTTTCAATGTTAATTACTTTTGGCCCTTAAATACAAAAGATTACATGCATTTCAATTGCTAAAAGTAAAAAAAACAATTAAATCGTCTTTAGTCCGCTAATTTGTTAATAACAATTACAAAAAATTTTTAAACAATTATTTAAATCTCAGAAAATGTTCTCAAATCATTGCTTTAACAATTTTAGGCTTTGTTGATGTAATACCGTCCTTTTTGAAAAACTTATGTAGTTTTTAGAGAAGAAAAAAAAAATTTCAACTTTAACAATAAATAAACAATAGAAAAATTTTTTTTTTAAAAAAACAAAAACGACAGCGCTGTGTGGAATTTTATTACCTTTAAGTCAATTCAAAGAACGTCAAAATCGGTTGAAATTTGTAGGCTCTAAGTTAATTTGTCCACGGACGTGTTTTTGGCCCCACTGTGCGTTGTCAAGGAAAAATCAAAAATTTCGAAGAAAATGATTTATTCTCCCTAGCGCACATAATATTCAACCCAAACTGTTCATATTTGCTGTAAAACAGTATTTTTGCGTGAAAAATACAGGGAAAAAATGTAAGCGCAATTGGAGTTGATGATCAATTTTTATCAAATTTTTGAAGAAAAATGATAAATTTAATAAAAAAATGTATTTTTCCGCAAAAAACGAAAAAAATTGGACAAGTGCGAGTTACACTCGCAATGAAATCGAGGGTTCCGTACTCGAAGCGAACTTATTTGGTATAAAAATAAATGTTTAAAAAATATGTGTTGTATGTTAAATAAATTATGTGATACAAAAAGGAACAATTTTTTTAAAAAATTTAAGAAATTTGATCCTCCTTTGGTATAAAAACAAAAAAAAATTTAAATATGTGTTGTATTTCAAATAATATAAGTGATACAAAAAGGAACAATTTTGTAAAATTTAAGAAAATTGTTCCTCTTCGTATCACTTATATTATTTGAAATACAACACATATTTAAATTTTTTTTGTTTTTATACCAAAAGAGGAACAATTTTCTTAAATTTTTTTTAAAATTGTTCCTTTTTGTATCACATAATTTATTTAACATACAACACATATTTTTTAAACATTTATTTTTATACCAAATAAGTTCGCTTCGAGTACGGAACCCTCGATTTCAGTGCGAGTGTAACTCGCACTTGCCTGATTTTTTTAATTTAATAATATTTAAGAATTCTATATTCTATTTATTTAATTAGATAAAATTTCCCCCCCTTTTATTTTAACCCTTCATTTTCTATCCCCCTTTTTTTATTTTGATAAAACCGGCGTTTTCTTTAGGACTAAGCACAATAGAAACGTATCCGGAATCGCAATCGCAAACGGAAGAATTAGTAAGAGTAGAACAACAATATATGCCTTTTCTCTCCTAAAATATCGTCTGTTAATGTTTTGATATCTTAATTTTATTAAAAGATTTAAAAGAAATCAATTTCCTTCTATTTATCTATAACGCGCTAAAATTCAAATTTTTCCTTAATTGATTTGTTTTCGAAATCATCATGAAACTAAATTTATTTATTTTTATACAATAACGAAATTATTTAATTAATAAGTATTATTGTTAATTAATAACTTCTTTTTAATTGTCACAAAAAGATAACCCAACGTGAATAATTGTTAGTCGCCAGCCAATTTTTGTATGGAATTGGCAATCAGAGAAAACACAAAATACCCCCAAAACTCAAAATCCAATAATAAATCTCAGAGGAGATTCTGTCGTGAACGAAAGTCGAGAAAAAGGGACACGACTCTTGAGACACGACACAACAAAATTGGACTTACCTACGACGACAAATCAAAATGTTAACCCTCCAGTGATCCGTCCAAACTCCTCGAAACTTCATTCTGTGGAATCTAGTCTAGGTGAAAAACAACCCCGCCGTTGTGATGACTCAAAAAATGGACACATGATCTCCTTGAGGTTCACTCCAAAATAAAAGAGACACTCACACTCACTTTTCTACTCTTTTATTTATTTTACACTCTGGACAAAACAAAAACTCTCTTCTACACTACAATATCGTTACGAGCCCGCTCTCACCATATTGATTATCTTCCTAGATCTTTTTCGTCCTCTCCTCCACACGTTCCAATAGTGGCCGCCGTGATGGCGCCAAGTTCCGGACTCCTGCAGCGGCCTGTCCTCTGAACTACCGGACGCGCGAAAATCAACCCAAGTCGAAAACTGCCTTGTGACGAATTACTTCGTCACAAATACCTCCCCCCTAGGCCGTTACTACTCCCAGCAGTAATGCCTACCCAAGACACCAAAACCCAAGTCGTGACATTCTGTCTCTCCGTCGATGAAGCCTTTGTCGTTGATCTCGTTCCCTTTGTCTTATATTATCCTTGTCGAAATTCCTCCTCGAATCTACGATTATATTATCATTAGTAAAAATTACTGAGTTCGTAGGGGGAGATATCGTTTAAGGTCTGAGGCATGGATTTTAGGAATACGACGACTCTCGTTATCGCGTAAGACAAAAACCGTAGGTGATAATTTCTCCATGATCTGGAAAGGGCCCTCATATTTCGGTGCGAGTTTTGTTGCGAAATTCCGTGTATCAGTCGACAATATATGTGATTTACGGAGTACTAAGTCACCCACGTTAAACAACCCCTCACGTCGATTACGGTTATAGTACTCGGTCTGTCCGTTACGTTCTTTGTCGATAAATTTCGCTACCAAGTCTCGCAACGCATCCAACCTCTTTACCCTGTCTACCCAATCTTCTGGCGCAATTCTCTTAACCTGATCTCGTTGTTCTACCTCCCGTCGCAAACTTTTAAACATTCGAGGATATCTTCCGTAATTTAAAAATGAGGGAGATGTTTTTGTCACCACCTGTGTCGCAGTGTTCGAAGCATGGCGAAACTCGTGAACATGAAGATCCCAGTCGCGATGATCCTTCCCTATGAATATCGCAATCATGGTCTTCAATGTGCGGTTACTCCTCTCCACAGGATTAGCTTGCGGGTGGTAGGGTGGTGTGACTTGTGAAGCTGGCACTCGGGACATCGAGTGACATACTGGTGGACATCGTTCCAGATTCCTTGCCAGTAATATTCTCTCGCCACTCGATTATACGTTTTCTCCACCTCCAAATGACCTGTCGACGTCCATTCATGGCCGTCGTGGAGAACTCTCTCTCTCTCTGTACTCCTCAGGTTCTTCCAGTTTTCAACCATCCCAGTCGTCAACAGTTGGAAGGAGTAACGGGTCACTCGTGTGTCGATAAACATGATCGTTCTCAATTTTCCATCCAGCATCTGGGACTTGGTTCAATGCACCTCTCCTGTGAATGATTTCAAAATCCTACACCTGCATTTCCAGGGCCCATCTCACTAGTTAACACTCGGGTCTTTCAAGTTTCTAAGCCACTTTAGGGCGCTGTGATCACTGATCACCTTGAACTTGTATCCCTCGATATATGGTCGCAACTTCTCAATCACCCACAGTAGCGCTAAACACTCCTTCTCCGTGACGCTATAATTCCGTTCTGCCCCAGTCAGAACACGGCTGATATATATCACCGAATGTTCACCGTCGTCAAACTCCTGAGTCAACACAGCTCTAATAGCAAAACTACTCGCATCACATTGGATAGTCAATGTCTTATTAAAGTCAGGACGGGCCAACACTGGTGCTGTCGTAAGTTTGTCCTTCAACTAGTCGAAAGCCTCTTGTTGCTCCTTGCCCCATTCCCAGTCTCGACTCTTCTTTAGCAATTTAATACCACCCAACCATGCCCAAAAATCTCCGGAATTGTTTGACTTTCTTTGGCACTGGATAGTTTCTTACTGGCTCGGTTTTTTCGGGGTCTGGTCGCAATCATTCATTGTCGAGAAGCTACCCCAAGAAGGTAACCCTAGAGCACCCAATCTCACATTTCTCTGGGTTAACCACAAATCCCGCGTCTGCCAACTTCTTTAAAACTATTTCAAGCCATTTCACGTGTTCGTCGAAAGTATCCGTCACAATTATTATATCGTCGAGATAACCAAACACGTGAGGTTCGAATTCTGGTCCGAAAAGAGCATCAATTACTCGTTGAAAAGTCATCGGCGCGTTAGTCAAGCCGAATGACATACGTCGATATTGCCACAGTCCTGAGCCGGGGATGGCAAAGGCCGTGTACTTTCTGCTCTCTTCTGCCATTGGAATTTGGTGATATGTCAATTTTAAATCGATCATCGACAAATATCGCGCCTTCTTCAACTTGTCGAGTATGGAGTCTATCGTCGGAATTAAATAAGCGTCCTTGACGGTAACCTTGTTGCCATCCCTATAGTCCATACACATTAGGAAATCTCCATTCCCTTTTCTGGCAATCACCGGTGCACTCTTCCAGTCGCTACTTGATGGTTCGATCACGCCTTGCCCATGTAGTTGAATCATGTGTCCTTGAGCCCACGTGATCATAATAGGTGACATGCGTCTCTGGGGATGCTGTACTGGTGACTAATCTGTAACCCATATATAATGTTCTGTCAGATTTGTTACCCCCAGTACGTCAGATTCTGGAAGAACCAATCGGTTCACCATTTCTTGAATGACCTCTCTTTGTTTGTCCGTCAACGCAGAGATTCCAGCGCATTCAGCGTAGATCGACTCATCACTCTCAATCCCATCCTTGACGCCAAAAACATGCCAGTCGCCATTGAAAACTCTCCATAACCCCAGTCCCAATTGTACCTCCATATTCCAGGCTTTACAGAAATCCACACTCAAAATAATGTCTCGTACTACTGAACTACTGACCTTCTCCAACCCTGCTCGCTACTCCGTCGTTAAGAATCAGTTTTAAGGATTCTTCAGTGGGTTGGAGGGGGGTACAGACCCGCTCTGTGCCCCCCATTGTCCGTTTCCCTAAGCGGCCCTCACTTGGACGCAATTCGGACAATTAAGGAAATTCACGCCTAGTGATCGACAAACAAGGCATGATTCGATCTGGATTCTAGCTGGGCACTGTGCTGCGAAGTGACCACGCTTTTGACAAACGAAGCATGTCCTCATGGGACATTCCGAAACATTGTGTCCGACCATCTGACATGTTAAACATGCCCTTGTTTTGGTGGAAATTGGCGCTTGCCTTACCCAGCGGCCACTGTCGCAAAAGTAGGGGTTGGGTTAGGAGCCTGTATCGGAGTCGCGGATGGCTGAGGACTGGATTGCTTAATTGCATTCACCTCTGTAGTCCCTTTCTCAGAATCAGTCTTCTTTGACTTTTTCCCCTTACTCTTCTTGTCGACCACCTTCTCTAACTCGCTCCCCGTCGCTGATTCGTCCTCTAGGGCCGCTATTTTCTTGGTCTTCTTTGAGGAAGATGGCCTTTTCTCATCCTTTTTCGCACCCTTATAAGCCGCGGTGGAAAGACGCATTTTCTCTCTAGGGGGGGAACGTACCTATCGTCCAGATCTTGAACCCTTTCGAATTGTCGCAAATTCTTCTCTAATTTCGAGAGTGATTCTAACACCGATGAATCAACTTGTTTCCAATAGGTGGGAGTAAGTCCTTTCTACGGATTTTAACCTGTTCCCTGGTCGACAATGGTTTCCTAAGATGTCCCATTATCAGTTGTAAACTGGTTAAGTAATAGGATATTTTCTCCCCTTTTGCTTGAGTCCTGCTTCTCATCTCGTCTATAACTTAGTCGTCATCGATGGTCGTCAAATTCTCCCGTCGAAAATCTATTTGAAACAGTCTCGAATTGTGCGGAACCACCTACTCGCATTACCCTTAAAAATGCTGGGAAGTGTTTGAAGATCTTCGTCGCTTATCATGGCGCAATCTCGGCAGTATTCAATTCTCTCCAGAATTCTTCGGGATCTTCTCGTTCTTCACCCGAGAACTTAATATCCCAATCTTTTAGAGTACTATTGACTTTATTTCGTCGAGAAGCTTCACGAACATCTCTTCGAATCTGACTTCTGTCACTTACGTCCGTTTCGTTATCAGTGGAAGAATTGTCGAAAAGTGTCCTCCTAGCATCAACCCGTGATGTATTCTGGGGGGTATGCCTTCGGCTGGGTTCCCTACGTTCCTGACGACTCCCCTCCCTACTCAAGAATCCGTCGCTAACTTCCGATCTTTCTCTGTTGTCGCTGCCTAACTCGCTGGGTTCGCTCTTTACTCCAGAACCCCCTTCTCTCTTTATGTATGTGCGCCTAATGTCACATACTTCTTCATTCCTATTCCTGATTTGACATACTGTCCTGGGGGTTGGGTTAGGATGGTGTTGGGATTCTCTCCTCCTGATTCATTTTAAACCCCTTATTCTGTCCCATACTAGCAGCCATTAAATTGTTATTAATACAAATCAGCTGTTTTAAACCGATGTTCCGAACATGCAAAGCAGCCCTGATCATCGTGTTTGCCCACCGTTTTATCTTGACTCCGTAACGTCTCCCCACACGCTCAGTAATCGGGCAGGGTGACATCCACTCGTTGAGAAGGAAACCCTTCATCACTCGAGGCGACATACGGTCGTAGGCCAACGCGCAATCTCCTGCCCACGCACCGCCATCCACCGATCCGTGCTCTCCCTCCTAATAGCTTCTCGCTTAACCGCATCCATGATCTGAACGGGGACGTCACCCATCTCCAACACATCGTTGACCTTAGGCATCAGGTACGGGCTGGTGGGGGTACCGATACTACCCCCTTAATACGCGTGAACGTCACCTCATGCAGTCCAGTGATGTCTGCCTCCTTCAGGCCCCAGCTTAACGCGAAACTTCTCATCAAGGCGTCCCGAGCGGATCCTGACATCAACTGACACCGTCGCAATCGTTCTTTCCATCCACCCAATCTTACATTCACTGATCGCATCTGTTGTGTCACCTTCAGGGTGTACCACCTGCCATCTGAGTGCTTCTCTATCCTGCTCCCGAAGCCCGAGTTTGGGTCTGCTCCAACTCCCCCAAACAGTTGGGTGTCAGGAATAAGCCTGCAGCTTTGTTCGTGGACACGCGCATACCGCGCAGATCCTCCATCATCATCTGTACAACGACTTCTGGATTGCCTCCCCTCAACATAGCCAGATGCCACTGCATCATGTGGCTATAGATCCTTTCTGTCAGGGACAAAGGATCGTTCTGAATAGGATTCTTGATGCGTAAGCCGTGCATGGTCCTTGCCAAGTAACCAGTCACACCGATTGCCTCGTAACTCCTACGCAGAAACTCCCCTCGCCCCTCGAGATGTAGGTCTTGTAAGGGTGTACCTTGTAGCCTAGCTTTCCGTACGTATCGATGATACTCGCTTCGCTCGAGCAACAACTTACAAACTCATCGGAAAACGGCTACTTTCCGCTCTTGGTCCACAATGTACTATTTCTGCATAGTGTGCGGTAAAGTAACAAAAACAGTGCAGAAAAGTACCAGAATGCAGAAATCAAAAACTTTACCCTGCTTTTACCTTAAAGTAAAGTAGCGCTTTTCTTGCAGGTGTTACACAAAATATATTATATTATATTATTCTCATTAAAAAAATTTTTGTTCGTTATAAATTTTTTTTTTATATTTGTACAAATCAAAAATGTTGTTTTAATAAATTGATCTATTTTTTTAAAACTTATATATTTACTTACACATTTGACACTCAAGGGCTTAATTTTAGAAATTCATTCGCAAAGTCATCCTTAACGCCATCTAGGGTTTAACGCGCGTATCACAGCTGCCGCTAATGGTAATATACATATATATGGTAATTCAACAACTGTATGCACTGTACACTTAAAACACTTATTATTAATTAATTATATCTTAATTTATTATTATTATTGCATAAATAAGCACTCTAAATGTATATTAACCATTCTGAATAGTTATTTACTACATATTTCGTCGATTAACGATAATATTTCACAATGAACCGAATCGTAACCCAATTCGGTTACAACTCGGTTTTCCCAATCCGCCAGGGTGCGCACACCAACACCAGTTAGTGTATTTTAAATTTCTATTCTTCTCTTCTTTTTGGTTTGGCTTCCCATGTGCGTTTTCAGTAGTTTATTTGCTTTTAATTGATTGTTTCTATTTGTTTTTATGTTTAGTTTCGTTATTGTGATGATTGTTTTTTAAATTCTTTTCAAAGTTTTTTAAAAATGAGTAGAAATTGTGCAGTTAAAGGTTGTAAAAATGAAAAAGAAAAATGTAGCCATCAACTTTTTAGGTTACCTGATAACGATGTAAGTATAAGCATTCATAACTGTCTAATGATTATAATTATATATATATATATATATATATATATATGTATAAAATTATATATTGATAAGATATATATAAAATTAGTGTACAGTCTTAAACATTATACATATAAACTGTCTGCATTGACTGCAATTTCTTTTCAAATTCAGGAAGATAGAAATAAATGGTTGAGTAGCATTGGCGACAATTTAAACAGAGGCCGGTATAATAGAGTAAACATTTTCGTATGTGAATTACACTTTGAAAAAAATTGTTTTTATAACAATAAAATAATTTTGTTTAAAGACGGAAATAATGTTGAATTAAAGAGAAAAATATTAAGATTGAAACTGGATAGTATTCCATCAATTTTTGAGGTTATATTACATTAAAAAAAATTTTTTTATATTTTAAATCTAATTACATTTTAGTATATTTTTATGAATATTATGATTAATTTTACAGCGTGACTTGCCGAATGTTGCTCCTAGTAAGAATAAAAATTCTAATTCTAATAAGATCAAAGCAAAGAGAGATTTGTCTTCAATTAGTAAACGTAAAGTTGACAACTTGAAACGCATTATGACTCTGCCTTATAAAGTGGATTCTCCCATGCAAACAAAAGATAAATACTCAATTGAGAGTTTGTTTAAAGACTGGAATTTTAGAAATACGTCTCAGTTTCCTGATCATTGGGGTGAGCATAATACTGATGCTGGACTATTATTTGTTTACGTTGGAGATGTGGACAGCATTGCTTCAAGATCAATTCTTGTTAAAACATATATGAGTGTCAAAGTAAGTTATTTAATTTTTTAGTTATTTCATTAAATATTTAATATTTGCTTCAATTAATTCTGGAAAAAATAATGTAGATTTCAACATTGTAATTCTGCAAAAATGTAAAAATATATAAAAGAATTATTTATAATTATTACTTTTATTTATGATTATCATTTGATATCTTTTTTCAAGATTATAGCTCATAATAACATCGCAAAATATCCAGTGTTGGAGAATGATAAAAAGCAATGATAAAAATAGTTACCTTGAATTTGTGCGAAGAAGCTTGGAAAGGACTATGTAAAAATGGTTTTACGTAGCAAAATCGCACAATCAGGGTAATGAATGCAGAGTGCAAAAGAATCTTCAAGCGAGAAAAGTATAAAAATGATCGTGCAGCCAGGACTTTAATTTTGAGAAGTAAAAAAATTTTAAAAAAAGGAAAATAAAAGACAGATTAGGCCAATCCATGAAAAAGGTTGGCATAATTCATGATTGATTTTTATTCTTTAAAATAAAAATTATATTCACTTTGTCTTATTTCTAATGTTTTCTATTTTACAGATAGAAAATATGCAGCAACACATTGATAGTTTGATTAAGAAATATTCTCAAATAAATGAAGATTCAATGATGCAGAAAATAAAAGATTTACCTGAACAACAGCAGAAAGTCGTAAAGACAATTCTAAAATATGGCAAATTGGACAATAAACACGGAATGCGATACTCCAGGGAATGGATTTTGGAGTGCATACTCCTCCGCATTAAAAGTCGAAAGGCTTATATTCATCTTAAAAACCATCAGATTTTACCACTGCCTGCTCTCACAACTTTGAGGAGGTATATGAAGAACATGAAACCTCAATACGGATTCGATCCTCAAGTGTTCTCGATGTTAAAGAAGAAGAGTGCGTCTATAAAATCTGAAGAAAAAAGAGGTAACAATATAGAAATTAATTATACACTTTCTTACAAATGTTGTATGTTAAATATAATATTTAAAAACTTTTATTCAGGAGTATTAGTCATTGACGAAATGAAAATAAGCAAATCCGTGTCATTCGACAGTGACAATCTGTCTATTTTGGGGTTCACAGATTTACGTGAACATACCCTCGAGCACCAAAAGATGGAACAAGCTGACCATGCCTTGGTATTTTTATACCAACCATTTCAAGGTAAATGGATTCAAAACGTGGCAGCTTTCCTAAGCAAAGGTGCAGCAAATGGCCAAGTTCTTTCTCACCTAGTAACTGAATGTATTATTTTGCTTGAAGACGATGGTTTTCAAGCAGATGTCGTCACTACAGACGGTGCACAATGGAATCGCACCATGTGGAAAAATTTTGGTTTAAAGGAACTTGATACAAGTTGTATACATGTTAGTTCCGTTGATGAAGCAGCAGATCAAGAACCAAACCAAACGCGTCGATTTTGGTTTTGTTATGATTTCTCCCACTTAATAAAAAATTTCATGCATTTATAATATTTACAGATTGGAAGGAACTCATTATTCAATTACAATCCTACATTAACATTACTAACGAAATGGACATTGAAAAAAATTTAACATTAATAAATAATAATTTTCAATTGTCATTTATATATAAACATTGCAAAATGTTAAAATTGCAAAATGACATTGAATCTACGGACTTTGGAAATAATGATATAATGGACATTAATTTTCCACCGTGTATGAAAATTGTTTACAGCAAATTGAAAGAGAATAATGTCCTATCTCATTATGATAGGTTTTATTTCACGTTGTTCTTAAAAAATATTGAAGTAAAAGTTGATGCTGTCCTACAATTATTAGAAAAGTAGCTTTCAAAACATGCTGCTGTTGAGGGATGTTGCAAAAATTTATGGGAACAGAAAAAGAAAAAAATTATATATCAAACACAACATACCTTCGGTATGGTTGGTTCAAGAAAAAGTACCAATGTGCTACGTGCTTCACAATAGGTGTAAGTATACAATTAATTATAAGGACGTTATCCTCCTTCTGTTAAAGAAATCATAACAATAAATAAATAGACGATTATTTTGTTTTAATAATTTTGTTTATCACTAATAGAGATCAGTTAAGAGCAATAAATTTGAGGGCTTTTGTCCTTTTACATCAATTTCCAATTCAACAGAGTATAACAGTAAAAAATATGAAGGTACACTAATTGACATAGAGGATATCGGAAAACAATTTCTAAGGAAAACGCAAACTAGTTTTTGTCAATGCTTCCTTAAACAGCAATTTCCAAATGAAACAATAGAATTTAAAATTAATAGTCATGCAGATTATTATAAATTGAAATTACAATTTCAACAGGAGGCAGTAAAATTGCATTAATTGTAGCATTCATTTTCATTAACAACTTGGAATGAATTTTTGATTTTTTTTATTCCAAAATCATCCCCAGGAAAATTCAGACCAATTTCTCTTGCTTCGTGCCTATTCAAACTAATGGAAAAACTAATCAACATGAGACTCAATTGGTATTTTGAACACAATCTTCAACTTTCATCCACTCAATTCGGCTTCAGAAAAGGCAGATCATGCGCAGATAACTTGGCTATAGTAGCAACAGAAGTGTGGATGGGATTCGCAAACCGTCAAGTTACTGCTGGCTTATTCTTCGATTTGAAAGGCGCTTTCCCCAGTGTTATGCCCAGTATTCTGGCAGAGGACCTGAGCGAATTTGGGATTCCAAGATCAATTACTCGCTTCATATACAATTCTGTTGCTGACAAACAACTGTACTTCAAAATCAACGGTGAAACTGTAGGACCCAGAATCAACACAGTCGGCCTTCCTCAGGGAAGTGTACTCAGCCCAATCCTCTACTTAGCATATACCAGGAAATTGTCATCAATCGTGCCTGATAATTGCATATTGGTCGAGTTTGCTGACGATATAGCAGTGTTGTGCAGATCAGAAGATCCAAGAGAGTGCATCGCCATCTTACAAAACTGATTGAATATTATTTCTCGCTTTTTTTCCAATAGAAACTTAGAACTATAACCAGAAAAAACAAAATTAATACTTTTTAACAAACTCAAACTCGACGTTAACGGTTTGAATCTATCCGTAAACTTGAACAACAATCTGGTATACCCATCAGACTCAGTTAAATTCCTTGGCATAATATTTGATTATAGACTAAACTTCGACGAACACTTCCAACATTTGGCGGACAAATCTAGAAAGGTCCTGAGGGTACTCAGGGGTACATGGTGGGGTGCTGACCCTGACATTCTTCTGGGCGTTTTCCGTTCCATGATCAGGAGTGGATGGGACTATGGCTCGCACACTTACACCTTTCAGCGACTTAAATACTTTGACAAATTAGAAAAAATACGGAACCAAGCCCTACGATTGTCCTTAGGCTATAGAGGGAGTACACCGATCAATGTAATGTTGGCTGAAGCATGTGAACCTCCCTTGAAAAAAAGATTTTGTTATTTAGCTAAACGTTACCTTGTTAAAACATTTGCAAACCGAGATCACCCCTTACCCGATAGCTTCACAACTCTTTGGAATACCACACACGAGAGGAATACATATCAAATTAGAAACATCTTCGTACTAATGATTGCGTTTGAAAAAGCAAAAGTTTTTAAACACCAAATACGTAGATCACGAATTCACCCATACTATGAGTTTCCTTATGAAGATCACCTCTTCAACCCTCAAATTGATTTAAATATAGGAAAAAAAATACAAAAAAGCCCCTCTCCGATCGATGAATTTAAAAACATCACTCACAATAAATTTAAAGACTACGCTAATTTTTATACAGACGGTTCCAAAATGGAATCAGAATCTGCAGCAGGTTGCTCCTTTATCTGTACCTCACATAATTTATCGAGTTCTTGGAAACTGCCAAGTCATGCATCAATTTTTTCAATAGAAGCCATCAAAATATTATATACCTTAGACTTTATTCTTACAGAAAATCTCCACCAGTCAGTTATTTTTTCAGATTCGCAAAGTGTTTTGCGCAGTATTGACTCTGACAATCCTTCCGCTATTAAAAGCATTCTTATATTTCTCATCAGGAATAGACTTTTTACCCTAGCCAAACTCAACCGAGAAGTCCGGTTAGTCTGGACTCCTGGCCACATGGGAGTTTCAGGTAACGAACAGGCTGACGAGGCGGCCAAAGAGGCAGCAATTAATGGAAATTTTCTAAATTTTGCTCTCCCCTTTTCCGATTTTTATACTTATTCCAAACAAGTATGGCCAAAAATTGTGACAATTTTTAAAGAGCAGTAGGGTCAAATAAAGGCGTCCTTTTTACAAAAAATTCTACAAACGACGAAGTAAACCCTGGTTTCACCAATTTATTTCTCGTAGACAATGGATTCTCTCCTTATGCAGAATGAGGAGCAATTACTACTCATTGAACGCAAGTTTGTACAGAAAAAATCTGGTGAGCTCACCAAGTTGCCCTTGTAACCCTAACGAAATTGAAGATATAGATCACATCCTGTGGGCTTGTCCCAGATTTAGCGCGTATCGAGAACCCTTAATCAAATCCTTTTTAAGTGCTCTAAACTGCAAACCACCATTTTGCAGTGTTCAATTTTTAAGCGAACCCTCACTTAGACAGGTCCCACCCATCTTCAGATTTTTGAAACTATGCAATTTGAACATTTGAAATTCAAATAGATTAAAATTTGTTTTCTTGTCCGCGATTAACAGGAGGTGGTGCCGCTTCATCTCCCCTCAGCATTGGTTGAGGGGAGATGGAGCGATGCTCTTCCTGGTCGTGGTGCGAGGAGCGATTGCCTGTTATTTTCAGACGCCAGTATACTACAATTGGACTCAGATCATGGCAGTATGTACAAACCTTTACGGCTAGTACGTTGCCAACGAGCCCGTGAACCTCACTTCACGACGAATAATAAGAAGAAGAATAAGAAGAAGAAGAAGTTTTTTTTAAATTCATAACTCAAAAACACCTATTTCGATTTGGCTCTATTTTTCAAACAAGACAGCTGAAAAGTTATACTTTAAAATGGTTATACCTAAAATTTGCATATTTTGAGTTTTTAATCATTTTTATGCAAAACAGTGAGTTAATTCAAATTTTTTTCAAGGTTTCCTTACAGTATTTGCTTTTTTGTGCGCATGCGCAGTTATATAGACAGAATCTAAGCCCAAATTCAAAATCCTCGAAAAATTTCCAATCAGTTATCTATATTCACACTTAATTTTTATTTATTCTAAACAAATTTTAACAGAAAAAACAAATACAAGTTATAATTAAGAGCATCACACATATGAGAGTATTGGGATCGGCTAAACTGCAATACGCCATCTGGTGGGGACCCATTCTCTCCCTCCATTTTCTTTCTTTGTCTCTCTTCAATTAATAGGTTAGAAAGAGTAGAAAAAACAAAATGGAGGGAAAGAATGGGTCAAAGTTACTAGATTGTTACTAGACCACCGTTCCCAATTTAAAAAAAATTTATTTTTTACGTTTGTTTTTTCAACTTAACATTTTTTTCAGTTTGGGAAATTATTAATTTTTGATGATAGATATTTTGTACAAAGAATTATAAATAATGTACAAAAGTACAAAATATCTTTCATCAAAAATTAATAATTTCCCAAACTGAAAGAAATGTTAAGTTGAAAAAACAAACGTAAAAAATAAATTTTTTCTAACACACGCACCGAAAGTACACCATTTCTTACTTGTAAAGAGGGAGAAAAGTATGTCTTTCCCGGCGAGCGGGAGGGAAAGTAACTTTCCCTCCCGCTGACGTCACTAACAGGGAGGAAAAGTACTTTCCCTTCCTGTGACGTCACTAGCAGGGAGGGAATGTTACTTTCCCTCCCTGTGACGTCACTAGCAGGGAGGGAATGTAACTTTCCCTCCCCGTAACGTCAATTCTTATTTCTGTTGTTTATAGAACATTAAGAAGAACAAGAACAGAATATTATTGAATTTACTGTCAAACTATCGATTCGAAATATCGAGTTTAAGTTTAATGTATATTTCAATATATCGAATCAAATTTAAAATCTATAATCACGTAAACAATAGTGTACACTTTCTCAGCTTGGCGTCTCTGTACGTTTGTTGTCATTCTGTCAATTCTGTTGATCAGTAATAACATAATTTAATTTCATTGTAGTCGACTTACTATAAAAGTTATATTTTTCGCTAAAATTATATAATAATAATATGTCCTTCTGTCCTAACTTGAAGTTGGCCTTTTCTGATTTCACGTGTTTTTTTGAATAGTAATCTTATGACGTGTCAAATTTTGACAATTCTTTTTCTCATTTTTGCCGAAGTTGTATAATTGTGTTTCCAAATTTCGGAATAAGTTTCTTTAAAAATCCAAATTCGAAAATTCAATTCACGAAGCTGAAGTACACAACGTTTACCAACGAAATTTTTTTTAAAGTTGTTTATTGATTCAAAAATTGTATACAAATACAAAAAATTTATGATGAGAAAAAAGATGCAC